ACTCTATCTTTCAAGAACGTGGGTATCAAACGGTTCTGCATACATACCTTGCGATTCGGTTATTATCTGACTTCCTGACACGTCGGATAGCTGTGATGTTGGCCTTTCCAAGGTAATGTTGTGCCAGATCTATTTGAAGAGAATAAATCCATGAAATCCATGAAATTTTAAAGAAATGTCCGTCTTGTGTTATATACAGTTTGTCTCTTTGTGAGCATCACGGCAGGTCATTTATGATACAAAAGCAACTGAAACCTCGTTCACATAAATTCAAGTGTGTAAAACATGCACATTTCATTTACTACTGTACAACTTTCATATGCTGTATCAATTACTACTAAAGCAACAGGATTTGATTCCAACAAGTATGTTTGGAATCAACTTTAATTTTGGTTGACAAAGAAAATCTAATTCTCCTGATCCAAACTAGGATCATCAACCCCCTCCCCCAGCCCTCCCCTCCCCTTTTTTCCCCTGTGACCATGTTAGGATACCTCAGAATGGGGCCTATTGAAAATCAAACTATTCAAATGGATAAAAGAAGAAAATTTCATGTGGGCAGTAGCAAATATGACATAGAATAGTACATTTACGTGGGCGGTTACATTTACGTGGGCAGTAACAAATACTGTTGACCTAAAATAGTACACTCTACATCTATGGCTTCTTTTTCTTGTTTTCATTGTATTTTATTCAGACAAAAATAAAACATTACATGTGTAGAGCCCATACAAGTGTGCTTCCCACATGAGAAACCAGTCGCAACCTTAAAGGGAGACTTTACTACTTCAGCTAGAAGGGATCAGACCACACAGCGAGCCAGCGAGGTCACTGTGACAGGTGGCTATCTCATTAACTCAGCTCTCATTTAACATAAGAAAAAGAGGATCATGGGGGACCAACAGGCACCGATTGGGGAAGTTTTCTATATAGAGGGAGCAAGTAGCTACAAGTAGGACAGTGTGCCTTTAAAGGGATCCGGTAACTTTGTCTCAGATTCTGAAACAAAATCCTGGATTTAGCTCATGCTGCAATGATAATTATAAACCTTTAGGTCAGTCAGGAACCCGATGACTTTTACAAGCCGATCGCCTGTTGGATTATCACAATATTTATGATTGGAAATTGAAACCAAATTTTGCGTTTTCCTAATGGTCTATTGGGGGAAACGAGTATGGTAAAACCGGTCACTCAAAGATTTTTACTTTTTAAGACAATTCTTGATCATTTTGAAGCGCAATTTTTTTTTAGGGCTTCAATATTACACCATATCACAGATACTGATAACACGTAGGGCCGTACATCTCAGATCTAACATTGTTAAACGATCCCTTTAATCCTAAGCCTACACCCATGAGGATATCCATGTCAAATCAAAAACAAATCTCAGTTTATCCTCTGGATATCTTACCTGAAATGCCTTTCTCTGTGAAGATGAGATCAGGTTCGAGTGCGATGATCTCAGAACAGATACGTTGGATGTACTCCTCCTCTAGCTGTAGAATGCGGGTGAAGTCTGTGTCGCTTCCCATCTCGAGATTGGTCTACAATCAACAAATTTAAATAAACAAAACACAAGATGCATTTAAGACAGAAGTAAAAGATAAAAGATTGGACAAATGCCTTGTTCAGATATGGTGAATGAACCACCATTAAAAAAAAAAGGAAAAAAAGAAGAAAAAAGGGGGCTGCAATAAACTTACTATGGACCGGTAAGTGAAAGGTATAGTTTGCTACAACATTGCCTTTTTGTTTTATTTTTGTTTTGATATAATAGTTTTCTGATTTTGTTTTTGTGGTGTTTTCTTAATAGGCTGTTTACTGCATGATAAGTGACCGAACCTTCAAACAATTATACATCAAAGGATGGGCAGTGATGAATTAATGATAATTAATTTCATGCATGGCTTGTGTTCCACAAAAACTAAAAGAAGCTGTATAAACAAGCATCTTCGCATTGACCCAATTAAAATCTAATAAAAACTCATCTCGTCTTTGTTAGCGATGCTCCCTAATTAATATTATTGAGTGTCAGATATGTGGGTGTATCAAGGTTAAAAGATGCAAATATTTGTTACAATCAAAATATCAAGTCTATAAGTAGAAAAAATAAAATCAATTTTTTTGTAAGTGCTATATAAAGGCAAATCCTAATTAAAATATCCATGTGATTAACTTGGGAAATAATTTCCATCCTTCTGCCCCTGAAAAACTTAAAATGACAAATCATGGTCAATTTATTCTAGATTAATATCTTGCGATGTGGTGCTAGAGAAAGTGGGTTATACTTATTTCTTGAATTACATAAAATGGACAGTATGTAAGAAGTGCTTCTACAAAAGAAATATCAATAGATTCCATTTATCAATCAACAACATGAACAAAAAATACACATATTAAAAGAGGGGTGTCTTCTAGCTCATTAAAGGCATCGTTTAACAATGTTAAATCTGAGATACACGGCCCTACGTGTTATCAGTGTCTGTGATATGGTGTATTACTGAAGCCCTGAAAAATTGCGCTTCAAAATGATCAAGAAGTGCCTCAAAAAAGTAAAAAATCTTTGAGTGATCGGTTTTACCATACTTGTTTTCCCCAATTGACTGTAGTGTTATGAAAACCGTTTAGCAAACGGTTTTCAAAATTGGTAATTCAAATCATAAATATCTTGATAATCAGACAGGCGATCGGCTTGTAAAAGTCATGAGGTTCCTGACTGACCTAAAGGTTTGTAATTATCATTGCAGCATTAGCTAAATCTAGGAAAAAAAAAAAAAACGGACAAAACAAAATAATCATAATTTTCTCGAAAACACTATTTTTTTTTACAAACTGATACCAAATTCATCAATATTCTTATAATTTACCGGAAGTTAAGCTAAAAATGCGATCGCAGGCAGATTTGGTGTCCGATATACCCCTGCCACAATGAACGGTGTAATGCGAAATTGCATGAAATGGAAAAACAAAAAGGCGACTTCGGATGGATGCTTCGCGGCAGGTCCGTTAAACGGTCCCTTCCTTTACTTTTGCAATGCATTGGCACGAACTTAGATCAAGATATATCGGCAAATGTTGTTTTTAGGAAGTTTTTTTCGTCTTCATGTCAATATTGCAAGATAAAATTGTCGGTAAGATGTTTGAAAATGTCCTGTACCATAGTGGTATTGTTATTTTACCGTTTCTAGTCCCATACGTGCAAAATCGTGTTGGTTTTGACTTTCGTTTTTTTTTTTTTTTTTTACTCTTTCGTCGTAAAGGCCGCACCCCGACTTTTTATACTTTCTCTTCCAAAAATACTGCGGCCTTTACGTCGGCAAATACGGTATGCAATGCATGCTGCATTCTCTCTTAATTAGTGCCTATAGTTTGTGCCAATTACTTGGTACTAGCGGCATGCCAGTGGATTGACCCATCAGTATTCATGGCAAATAAAAGGTTAATGTAACTTTAAGAATCCCATTCACAAGCGCTGTTCCATTAAAGCCTGTCTGTACTAGTTTGGCCAGGAGGGATAGACCACCCAGCAAGGTCACTGACAGGTGACTATCTCATCAACTCAGCTCTCAATTAACATAAGTAAAAGAGGATCATGGGGGACCAACAGGGACCGCTTTAGCATTGTTTTCAATATAGAGGGAGCAAGTAGCTACAAGTAGTTACAGTGGGGCTTTAAACTTTTTCATCAATCCCTCCCTCTACACGACCCATAAGACGGTGCTTTTGATGAAAGAATAAATCAACAGCCTTTTCAGCACAGCTATCACATGGTGCTACTGAAAGCACTGTCCCAATGCTATCCTGAAGCTACCAGTATGGTCATGCTATTCAATTTGTGTTCCCCTCATTTGACGTACCTGACTTTCTCCCTTCTTGTACTCTAGATTGCAGTCCAAGAGGAGGATACGTGGGTTCTCAATGCGTCTCCTCATGCGTGGATGTGTCACATCTTTATTCAGCATCACACCTTTAAGTACTCGGGAGTCTTCAATAGTACCACCTGGAACCTGGTTCACATTCAAACAAAAACAAAAATCAATCAATCAATCAATTAACACTTCATCACAAGTATTGAAATTAAAAGAATGTAATTAACAACTTCTGCTGGGCTTCAGAAGTGGAGGTATGATTTTACATATATGTAAACAGTATATTTCTACATTTAATTCATCATGAAAGAATATTTGAACATGATAATCCAGGCATGAACATTGAGTTGTGAGTATGTGGAGTATGTGATTGATTGCAATATCCAAAAACAGGCATTATACAAACAAGACTGTCGATTCTAACTATTTCTGAACATTCCGAACCCCTTTAACTTACCTTCTCTACTTTGGCGTAGCGTTTGATGTCGATCTCTTTCCTGCCATTCTCCTCTAGAGATACGGTATTAACAGCATCATACGCAATCTGACAAGCCAGATCAGCCCTGTCAAAGATAGCCAAATATTACAAAATCAACTTTAACCCATTGAATCCTGATTTCCCACAGTCTCGCAGGCAGGGATAAAATTAATATTTATTTTTCGGGGGCTACTTTTCAAGCTTGCCTGCATAAAAATAACACTCTAAAATTTGTTTTGCATTGAACTCTATGCAAATTTACGGGGGCTCTTTTGGGCATTTCGGGGAGAAATTCGCCCTGAGGCCCCGTGTATTTTTTTCACTGCTCCCAGGCTTAAATTCAGAGGACATCAGGTTACCATGTGCGATGGGTTAGGTAACATGGTCAGGTGACCTGAATTAGTCTGATTATCACATCTCTCTTATTCTATGCAACACAATATGGATTTATAAAATGTTTTACTTAGTACAGAATACATACTACACATATTTGTCTATTTGAATAATTTCTGGGAGGCAGCCATCAAATTATACTGAATGTTATCACTGCTTTGTGACACACCTTAACAATTTTTACAAGGGAAGTTTTTGAGCAACTTTCACATGTATTAAAACACTGGTAAAAACTTTCAAAGTGGTACGATGTACAGCTGTAGGTCACCTGAATTTAACAGGCTCCACAGTATTCCAAAACTAAAGGTCTAGTGATATTGAAGTGTGAAATTAGTATGAGTGCTGTAAATGATAAGAATTCTATCCAAATACACAAAGTGATATCAAAACAACCAATCACAGTCCATGCTCATGTCATCTGACGGCATGTCCTATCAGTGAGATGACTTACCATTGGTTGATAAACTTTGTTCCTAGACAACTATTGATGATGTTCATAGAGAATTCTACTATTCAACACAAATACACAAAGTGAAATCAAAACAACCAATCACAGTCCATGCTCATGTCATCTGACGGCATATCCAGTCAGTGAGATGACTTACCATTGGTTGATAAACTTGGTTCCTAGACAGCTCTTGATGATGTTCATCATCTGACCTCTATCACTCACATCTACTTGTTTGCTGTATCAAAGAAAATCAAGAGTGTACAAAGGTTTACAAGCAATGGCCAGGAGAAAGTGAAAAAAAGGTTAATGGTGGCACAAACCTTTCATGACTGTGAACCACTTGTGAATGTCACACAAACAAAATTTCTGATACTGTACAGAACTACATATACTTTATTGTTTGAATAATCAAATAAAAACTAGATAGTTGTATTCCAAGTCTATTGTGCATATGGTTGGAGTGTTTTTAGTACATGTAGTTTTCAGCAAATGATCAGAAACTACATGGAATTCGACTGCGCGCAGTCGAAAATGATGCCTCCTTCATAGAGCAATTTTACAAACCGAAATGGAAGAAATTTTTCAAATTCAAGTTCAATTGTAATCTATTAACATGTTCTCAGAATATCGTGATTACAAGCAATTTCTCATATACATATATGACCCTTTGATCTTTGTCCTCATGACCCTAAAATCTACTCAGTTCATTGGCTCTGCAAGATGTCCTGAGTTAAATAGTAATCCATCTGTCAGTTCTAATGAGAATTCTTTCACAAGCTATTTTTGCATACACAATGAGCCAATGACCTTTGATTTTATGAACCAAGAATCTACTCAGTTCATTGGCTCTGCAAGATTCATAAATGATCTAAGTTTGGCAGGAATCCATCAATCTGTTCTAATGATAATACGATCACAAGCTATTTTTGCATATATAATGAGCCGCATGACCTTGACCTTTACCTCATGACCCCAAAATCTAATCAGTTCATCAGCTCTGCAAGTAGCATACATGACCTAAGTTTGGCAGGAATCCATTAATCGGTTCTTGAGATAACGCGATCACAAGCTGTTTTTGCATACATAATGAGCCCTGTGACCTTTGACCTTTGACCTCGTGACCCCAAAATCTAATCAGTTCATCGGCTCTGCAAGATACAGACATGACCAAAGTTTGGCAGGAATCCATTGATCGGTTTTTCAGATAACGCGATCACGAGAACGGGACGTACGTACGTACAGACGTACGGACGTACGGACAACCCGAAAACAATGCCTCCGGCTACTTCGTAACGGAGGCATAAAAATGCTGGTCGTTACCTCTCCCCAAAAACAACCAGAAATTCATGAAGATTCAATTAAAAAGTATCATCAGTGATTAAAAATCAACTTCATAATTTTTTGTGTGCAATAAATCACAATTTCAATGTTATGATTAAACTTCACCTACAAGACCAAGAATATGAAGTAGAAAGAATGCACTAATCAAAAGATATTCTCTATAATACAGATGGATGAGGGGAAAAAAATAATTGTTGTCTGTCTAACCTGCACTTGTCCTTCATAATCTGGAGCATATCTTCCATGGCTTCTTTGTAAGCATTGATGATGAGTGTGGGATGCATGCCCTGCTGTAGGAATGGCTCAGCTACAGACATCATCTCCCCAGCTAGGATAAAGGTTTAATAAAATCCAATATTCAATACAGTGGTGACATTTGAAGGTTAAGTTCTAGTCAAGGTGAAAAATAATTTGTCAAGTTTCTCTTTCTTTCTCCAAATTCCTATGTCAAAAAGTAACGCAGCAATATCACATGAAAATTATGTTGTATTTCAAATGCTCTTATATTCCTAACATATATTACAATGGTTTCAACTTAAAGGTACCATGTCCCATTTGCAGGCCAAAAAAATGAAAAAGTTAAATTCCAACTGCATTTGAAAGATAATACTAATTTAGAACTTCCCTAAAAAAGGTGGGGCTTGAAAATGTCTTCAAGTGGGAAAATAACGACTATTAGTTGTCAAATCGACTTTAGGGCTATAGAGCCCAAAAGTAATAGTCTTGATTTTCAGACAATTGTACCGAATGGTCATACGTTTTATGCTGCGCAAAGATTCAATCAGTTTAATCTTGGCCATCACAAGAAGTGGGTTATTGATGTAGACAAATGCTCATGTACCCTTTACAACTCTTTTCATGTATGTTATTACCAAAGAAGAAAAAAAAGCCAGTCAGTCACTCAATAGTGTCTGACAGTGAAGTCTAGCAAGTAAACAGGTTTCCTTGCATAATTTGAATATGAGGACACTGCTAAGGTTTAAATTTCAGATAGGACATACATGACATATTCATAATTCCTGCAAAGTTCTACAGCATTTGAGGTTGGCTGCAAAAGGGACATAGTACCTTTAAGACCAAATATTTATGCCAAGTGAACATGTAGTCCCATATACCTATATCCTTAGGTAGTGATTTAAATTTTAAGTGACTTTAAAGCTAAAGACCAGTTATGGTCATGCGATTGCATTGTGAAAGAAACATTGTGAAATCGATCAGAAAAGATTGATCATCTAGCATAGATGTACTGCAAGGTTCTGGAATCATCAAAATGATAAGAAATTTGGCCAAGTCTTCATAAAGTTAGAAGCACTGTACACAGAAAGATGTATATAGGACTACACACATGTGCGCGACACATGCATTTGTATCTCTCAACAGGCAACAGATACACTAATTTACCAAATATATCAATTAGTAGGCGGTTTCCCGTCAACATTTTTATCATCATGTATTATTCAAAACTTATTCTTTCACATGATTGGTAATAAGATAGGTAATATTTTTTTTAATTGGGGCGTTTCCAATACTGGTCTTTACCTTTAAGCTACACTTGGTTGATTCAAAATCATTTTTAGCAATTTCAAAAAAAAATTGAAATACAAGATCATTCTTGTGTTCTACATAATCAACCTTTCCCAATAACTTTTTTACATGAGTAGTACTCAATTTTATCTTTATGCCACCTCGTTCAATGGTGCTTTCACTCAGTCTGGATGACATCAATGAGTTAAGTTGATACAAGTATGTCTATACAATGTCTGGAAGATGTCTGATCAACATGTCAATGGAGAACAACAACATACCTGCCAACATTTGAAAAAAAGAATTAGGAATTTTTAGCACGGTATGCTTTCAAAAATAAGAAATCGCACTTGTAGCGGCAGTGTAACAGGCACTACGCAGTAAATCTGTATAAAAAAGTGAATACAAATTCGCTGCTCAATCATGTAGTCATTCAACGCATGCAATAAGTGAACTCTCAAATCGCGGCACATGATAAAACAAGCTTATTGGCTTTGGCACAAAAATATAAAAAATAAAAAATGAAGAAAAAAAAATGGAAAAAATCTAATTTTTTTGAAAAATCTGAATATTCTGAATTTTCAGGTCCTAAAAATCCAGAAAATCAGAATATTCTGGATTATTCAGAAGGGTTGGCAGGTATGCAACAATGGCACAAGAACAAAAAGGTCTGCTTGTTGGGATCTCATACTGCCCTCTTCTCTATTCTGTGTTTCTTCTTACCGAGGATGATAACTGATGTGGTTCCATCACCGACCTCCTCATCTTGTGTTCTACTGATCTCAATCATAGACTTGGCTGCTGGATGTTGTACCGTGATCTAAAACATGAAAGATTAGAGTCAAGACATTATTCATAGACCAACCTGCTAATGTTGTACCGCGATCTAAAACATGAAAGACTAGAGTCAAGACATTATTCATAGACCAACCTGCTAATGTTGTACCGTGATCTAAAACATGAAAGACTAGAGTCAAGACATTATTCATAGACCAACCTGCTAATGTTGTACCGTGATCTAAAACATGAAAGATTAGAGTCAAGACATTATTCATAGACTAACTTGCTAATGTTGTACTGTGATCTGAAAAAAGGGTTAAGTCAAGAAATTATCCATAGACCAACCTGCTAATGTTTTAAGGAGGCTGTTCACACCGACAGAGATAGCGCGCTAGACCGCGCTATCTCTGCGATGTGGAAGGTACAACGTCGTTTCGGTCCGCCCAACAGCGAGCCACGGCGAGCCAAAAGGGCGTGCCACTGGAGCACCTCTTGGGGGTGGTCCACGAGAGATAGCGCGGTCTAGCGCAGGCTAGAAAAAAGAGGGTGCTACGATAGACCGCGCTATCTCATTGCGGTGTGAACAGCCTCAAGGAGATCAGGTCAAGACTTGAATGGATTCTAGATCAAGACATGCATTAACAGTATTTTGAGTTCTCTACGAATCAACTGTCCAAGAGAGGACATGACTCTTTCAGCACATGAGAGATATCTTACCTCTCTGAGAATGCAGTTCCCATCGTTGGTCATCACAATGCCTCCCATAGGGTCCATCAACATCTGGTCAAATAGAGGAACATCAAAAGAATCATGTAATTCATTTTTTCTGTATAAATTCAGACATACTAATTTGCCATTAAATAATCTGGGACTAGGCAAAGGCTTAATGTGACTGTCACAACGCAAGCATATGATTGGTATTAAAATATTCAAAGAAGAAAAAGACAGTACATCTTTATTTATGCTTTTGATTAAAACTTTCTAAACATTAGTCTCTTACAACAAAATAAATACCAATGTATGAATCATGGACTCAAACCTATTGAACAGTCAGATGGGAGATTCATTGGCTAGTTGGTAGTACAAGATAGAAGTAATCAAGTTTGTATTATCCACTTCTAAATATATACAATACATGAACATGTCAACAAAACAACAAGCCCAGTATTGGCTTTCAAGGTTTCATACATTTTCAATTTTAGTTGCAGGTCAAGTAGTAGACTATATCTAATAGTCTCATCAAACAAAACTTTGAAATAATCTCAACTTATAATCTTTATAACATTATATTTTGATAAACTTGAATAAATGGTCTGCTTATTTCTACAGAAATAAAAGCCCTCTTTAAAAAGAAAGTTATATATAATTAGGAGACCATTACAGTCCAAATGTACCTTGAGCATTGAGCGTGGTCCTAGACATGTTCTGATGACATCTGCTATTGTCTGTCAATGAAAAAGAGAGCAAAGAATTTGTATTTACTGAAACTTTGGGTTTCAGGTGGGCTCGTTTCTGCATGATGCTAACGTGCCCGCCGAAAACCACTGTTGGTATGCACGTGTACTATGCAGCAGTTTGCTGTGAAAACAAAGTGAATACTAATATCTTTGTTTTTAGGAAACACAAAACAGGTAAGAAAGATGCATGTATACAAATAATACACAGCAAATTGTTTTAAAAGATTATATTTCATTTGTTTAAAAAAGTGATGTTTTATAACATGATTTTGATATTGACTGGTCACATTAGGCAAAATAAATGCCTTGTCACAAGTACGCTTTTAATCAATCATTCGATTAGGATCCACGTCATCATCTTATAACGACTTTTAATAAATCATGACCGTTATTTGGAGAATTGTGGAAGATTTATAAGATTTTTGGTGTGTGTGGTCCACACACGGAGTTACTAGCTGAATACAGGTCCAAACTCCAAAGTATGGTCACAGTTGTGAACAAGCGTGCCTAGTATAAGCATCAAAGACGTGCCTATAAGAGTCCCAGATACGAGCCGTCTCCTCATTCTGGACTTTGCTGAGCTGTTACACACACACATTCTCCAGAATCACCTAGCTTCCCGAATCATTAACTCTTGCTCCCGGTTCACCTCAAGTAGGCAAATTCATGCAAAAAAATATATTCAAAAAATTGACTTGAAAACACATCACACAATTAGTCTGAACCGAGTCAGGAGCAAATTTGAAGAAATTATATTTTTAAATGTTGTAAAACCAAAGAAATAAGAAGAAAACTGACCAAGTATCTGTACTAAAAATCGTACATGTAAAATTGGTCGTAGACATTCGACAGCTGAATATGACGCGCACGGTTGCATTACGTGCGTTCTCGAATCCAAAATCGTACCTCACACACACAATCTCGCCATACCGCGAATGGTCCGTCTTGGGGAGCTAGCCGGCTGAGAGTTTGCAGCGATACCAACGCAGCTTCGGAGCTCCGCAGCGCGCCATTTTAGCGGGACTCGGAAAGGTTTGCGATGGGAAGGCAGCGGCCTAGCTTTTTGCCCAAACAACGCTAGATCGGCTGCTGGCAAAATGAAAATAACTACGATCGAGAACATCGTCGGTTTCTTAACTTTTCAGTGAGATAATTCTGAATTCTAATTGAGACTATATAATAAATTAAATCGACAAAGAAACCTCGGTAGACCTCTTATAACTATACAAAAGCTTGTTTATTTCTTCATTTGACATTTTGTTTTCGACCATTTTTTCGTGCGCGAGTCAATGTAAACTATGCATTACCAAACTTTCAACACGCAAGGAACGGGGAACACTCGCGGACCTCGTAACAAATTCGTTGCAAAAAAAAATTTCAAGGGTGATTTTGAAGCAGTGAAGAACATTGGCGCTGCGATGCGCAGAAATATACTTGAAAGAAACTTAAAAAATAATACCTGAATTTTCAGAAAATCGTATTTGTATTAGTGTACCTAGATGTGACTTGTTTATAAATCAGATTTTATGAAGATTTGTCGGGGAAAAAATGTCAATTTTTTCCGTTTGGTGGTCATTTCTAGGCTAATATTTTAAAAGTTGCATCAGTAATGGGCCCGATGTTTCTCTTATCGTACTCGCATGTTATTTCTACATAGATTAAACATAGAGTCTAGGATGGTTAAGGCATAGACGTAATAGAATGGACTATCGACGAAGCAGTTTCTTTGATCCTATGAGTTCCACCGGCAAGGTTTAAATTTCGCGCCGATGCAAAAACCCAGTGGTGGTCCCACCGCAACCCGACAGCTGGATGCGATCACTTGCGCAATCTTTCATAATCGCAACAGCAAGCTCGCGATTTTGGTCCAAAATATAACTTGAAAAAAACATGCACCCGCCGATCTCTATCAATGGGACTACGTGTGCAATTTGGATTAGACAAAGGCACGGCAATTTAGTGGTCATGATGCGAAGAAGTCACGCATTACCACAGATTTTCTGAGCACTCACGAAAACAACCCCATTCTTCCAATGCCTATAAAAAAAACGCACGCAAACGCAACAAATAACGAATGATTGTATTCGACCAGCGAAGGATTTGTGATCACCACAACGTCGTTGGTTTCACAGAGAAATTAACGGAAACAGGAGAAAAAAACACTTTTTAAACTGTATTTTGTAAGCTCTTGTGGTGACTTTCCTTGCTTATATGATGAGTTTGCTACACACCAACACAAATTCGTAAAAAATCGAAGAAATCACCGATTTCAACAGCTTTTTTTACAGATTGGCGAGCATGAACAGGACGTAAACCTCATGTTTACATCCGGGGCATTATTGACGTAGTATTTAGCTGCGCATGGGTAGAAGGCTCTCCTGTCACGATTCATTCATGAAATGAGAAGCGCAAATCGTGGGAAGCATTGGTCAGTGCGAAGCGACTTGGCCGATAGAGGTCGGCAAAATCCCGGTGGATCTCATAGGACCAAAGGACCCTTATCGGAGCTTATCAAAACATGCCCGCAGCGTTGCGGTCAGACTTAAAACATAGAAGAAAGTAAGACATAAGAACAGGTGGTAGCTATCATTACTTTTACTACTCTTGCCGTCAAAAGTCCATTCGTATTACGTCTATGGTTAAGGGTAAGACCAGATAACATTATAAAAAAGATATATCCTTTCACCCTCCCATATCCAAGTTTTGGGCTGATTATTGCCGACCCACCGCAGCAAGGCCATTCAGATTTTTGTACGCGCGCAAAGCGCCCTCTAGTGCCCCATGCTTTACAAAGCCATCAACCACCTAGTCGCAGTACCAATTCCAGACTACATCCAACCAAGACTCCGTTCAACACGTCAGCAACACCGACACAGATTCATGAGACCCAGCTCCAACTCTGACAGCTACAGGCAAAGTTTCTTCCCAAGAACACTCCGGGACTGGGATGAGCTCCCTACCAACTTCATTGAACTGCCCTCTGTGGAGAAGTTCAAGGGAGCCATCAGCGCCTAAATCATAGGAGGATCTGTTTTTACTCGCACAACTTGTATATACGCACTATGCACTAATCAATCATGACCACTATGAGAGACACCACACCACAATATCCTCGTTTAGTTGCTGAAAAGGCTTTTGACGAGTACCAGCATAGACGTAGACGTAGACGTAGACGATGAATGTGCCTACCTCAAGACCCGAGAGTTCGACGAGTTAGCCGAGCATCTACAGGTACAGCTATGCTGAGCTTAGCTGAAGCACCCGTAGAGATAATATAAGGTTAGTTTATAAGGTTACTGTCTTGTGTTTCCTTTCTGTCATTCCATCTATTTCATCGTACCGTAAGTAAAACGGTGGTAACTCCGCCATCCTCATCATCAACTAGACTCTATTCTCTTCTACTCACCACCCAATTTTACTTCATTGCTTTGAAATTGAAAATCAGACTATCATGATCACGATGTATTATGTCTCGTTTACACAAATAAGTAAAGTACTTGTAAAAATAAATGAGATTGAAAATGATTTCAATGATTAAATTGGACAAATAAATGCCACCACCCTAAAATACACTTTTCATATTCAGTCAGTGTGTAATGACTCACCTTCGCAGCGGCTACATTTCCGATCTGAACCTTCTTTCCACTCTCTCGTTTCGTGTTTTGATCTGAAAATAAGAAAATGAGAACCGTGATAAATGGAATAAGGCATTAATTACTTAATCAATTTGTAACATTTTATCTTCAAATATCAACTTACTTAGAACCAACACGGGAGATCTGCCTGGCATCATCATCTTGACGGTTTTGAAGTGGAACAATCTCGAACAAAAATTAAACGATAGTGAACAGCCCGAACCCACGTGCAATACATGTACGAATAGTCCTTGGTTACTAGTGTGTTGGGGCGAATGCGAAGAGTGCTAGACAACTCGGCCTCGCTCATTTCATCAGGGTAAGGGAGAGGGTCGTTTGGGGGGGGGGGGGGTGACAGATATAGACGATGTCGATCAGGTAGCTGACTCGGGCACCATCCAAAGAAAACAATATTAGGAAAAGAATGTGTCTTGAAAGGATAACACATAATTGAAGCTAACAAACTATTTGTCACTGTATTTATTACTGTAAATATTTTTACTAACAACATCTTCAATACTTCAATACCAATATGGTTTTCAACCTTCTTCTTCAATTCAATTCAATTCAAAACTTTATTTCAGACTCATCTACACAAGGCAGAGGTCCATAAAACATATGTTACTCTCCTCCGCTCTATCGGAGATCAGCAGCTGGGTACTGCAGTTTGTCATAGCAAGTCCCGCCCCCCCCCCCCACTTAGGGTACGCATAATATGCTCTTTCTCTCTTTTTTAAATTTACCCCGAGGACTGCCAACATTTCCGAACCCCCCTTTCGCGGGCTTTTCCTGCCTTAGAGACCCCCCTAAATGTGGAATAATTTCTCAGGAGTACAAAGAGAGAGAAAAAAATCTTCGGGTGAAAAGTCAAATACACCCCTTTTGTTTAAAATTCTCGGCGGTTTAACCCCCCCCCCCCCCTTGGGCGGCCAAGTGATAAAGAAGAAAAAAAATCTTTCAATCTGGCACTGCTCCTGACGATAGCTACCGTATTCCTTGTTTAAAATCAAGAATTTTAAAATAAATTTTAAGCACTAATTGGTTCAAGGCTTTATAAATGAAAGATTTAACTGCGTATATCAGGACCCCCAGAAAATTACCCCCCCCCCCCCCGAAAAAACTACCATGAGGACAATGGTCACAATACCCCCCCCCCCACGGAATATTACCCCTTAAAAAATTATCCCCCAAGGACACCCCCTCCCCCGAGGACAATTACCCCTGGAAAGTTACCCTTATAGGACGATATTGCCCCCCCCCCCCCGTGGGCAACTACCCATTTACCCCGGCACCCAGAAAAAAAAATGCACTCTGGGTCAATTACCCCTCCCCCAGGACAACCAAGGAAAACCACTCCGATGACAATCTTCCCGAAAATACCCCCTTGCTCCCCCCCCCCCCCTTTGCATTAAAGGTGGAGTCTACCCTGTCCTCGCGGGGGGGGGGGGGGTGATTATTCAATTGTGTAATTGTTAACATTAAAATTAACAAGAGTTAAAATATTACTGTCATGCATTTTGTTACATTAACTATTTGTTTCTCTAAAGTCCCTTCCTCTTTTTCATATATTCCTTTCACATGATTTACATATTCACTTCCTCCATTCATCTCCTCCACATACCAAGTCTTCAAACAGGTGGCCGGACAGCTGGTATATTGTTCCTTTCTTATTATTTATTCATGAATCTTGTGTGAATGCTTTAGGTATTTTCACTTCTTACTTATCATTGGTTCTCTTTCCTTTTCCTTATGAATATTCAGTCTTACTCTCAAATCCCATTTTGCTATTGGTTGACGATGTATTCATTTGAATATACTTTGCTTAAGAATGTTGAATAGGATGCTGCATGCCTTCTGAATGGCAGCCTAATAAAACACATGCAGACCTGCACTGGACATGATCTAGGAGGGTTGTACTGATTTAGGGCTCTGCCACTTTTATGTTGGAGACTTTTATAGGAGAGAGGATTTACATCAATTGTAAGTGGAGATTTGAGTGAGTTTTGGATGAATGGTGTTATATCACCATTCATCCAAAACTCACTCAAAGTAAAAGTAACCTCTTAGTATAAGTAATTAGGTTACTTTTATTGGTTTACATAATTTTCAAGGGGTAATTTTCCAGGCGGTGGTTGTCCTTGAGGGTAATTCTCCCGCTTTTCATTGGCCAGGGGTGATTGCCCAGGGAGTAATTGTCCTACATATCGTCACCTTTAAATAATGGCCCTTTTTGAGAACAAAATATATTTTTTCCCTATTCATCTCTTTATGAAGCTATCCACCTTATTGGCCCGAATTCACAAAGGAGGTTTGTCGACAAACCTTGGTTTTCGTACGTCATGACGCGTTTTACGCGTTTTTTACAAACCTGGAGGTTTGGCGAAACAAAAGGAGGTTTGAGCTCAAACCTTGCTTTGTGAATTCGGGCCAATAAGTTTGTTAAATGACATAATGTGTTGAATTGAACATATTCATGCTGCTTATACCCAGTTATGTTTGTCTCAAATCTTGAAAATATGACCAGGGATATGTGAGTTTCCCTGATATGACTTAAAGGCCATATTATATAGGTAGACATGATTTTCACTACATGGGCCCTTTATTCTTCGCGGGCTAAATGAGGTAACCGAGTGGGTCAGATTAGTTGGCGAAGTCTGTTTATGCCATATTTTCACATGACGAGATGTTTAACATTGCGCGTGGTGCATGCATGCAGTTTGAGCACGCGAGATCGGAAGTGTTTTCATTTATCCTGTGCACGATAATACGCGAAAAAGTATTGGGTGCCTGCATCTGAGAGCTGATTAAATTTGTAAGTTGTAAATGGGCTTTTATTGGCAGTTAATATCAAGATTAACGCCAGATATGTTTTAAAGAAACTTGTTGTGGTTTGACTGTGATTTTAGCTGAATTTTCATAGTTTGCTCAGCTATGCAGCATAACATTGGCGTGTGATGGCCATGGCCCAGGCCCAGCTCAGGCAGCACGCTCGGCGCCGCGCCGGAGCTGAGTCGAGTCACGGCCACTGACCTGGCGAAAATTGCTACCTAGCAATTTGAATAGGCACTTCTTTTCAGATGAAATTTATTTTATACCACCCAATATCTGATTTGAATGATGTTTGGCTGAAGAAGCAGTCCTTCAAAGTTCAGCAATAGCAACACAAACTTTGAATTTTTAAAATTGGTCCAGGACCAGGCAGGTAAAGCCGAGTTATCACCAATTTTTTGCACTTTGCACAGTAGGGGCGCTGGTCCGAGAATAAGGATCGTCTTCATAAACGAGGATCGTCTTCGTAAACACGGACCGATGCGTCCTCAAAAATAAGGACCGTCTGCATTTTTGCAGACGTTTCATATTTTTGATCGGTGCATTGGCGATGCAAAAAACGGATTCTGCAATGATTTTCTTGATGCATTTTACATTGACATTGTACAGAGACTTTCACATTATAAGCAATAAATCCTTGGGAAGACGGACAACCCATAAAAGTAGACGGTGAACTAGGGTTATTTTCCCCCGGGGAATCCATTTTTGGCATCGCCAGCAGGCCGTTCTGTAACATGAAACCCCCAGAGCGCCGATGAAAAAAAACGTCCTCAAAAATGCAGACAACCCTTATTTTTGAGGACGCATTTTGTCCTCGTTTATGAGGATATCCTTGTTTATGGGGACGATCCTCATTCCTGGACCAGCGCCCCTACTGTTGCAGCTCAATTCAAATTTCAATGCTGTTTTGGTAGACAAAAGGTATTGCGCAATCTTATTATATTCTATCAACCCCTCTTGCCAAACAGTGTCAAATGCCTTTTCGGCATCAAGAAATGCCATGTAGTAGGATGCTTGTGGAATGCATTAATCTCATCGATAAGTTCTAGACACAAAGATGTTAGCATAGAGTAAAGGAGCCGGTAATCGGCCAGCTCCAGTTTTCGGCCGATTGGTTGGATGCAAGGTAAAATCACTCTAAAATACATCGCATACCGGTAATAGCATAACACATATCCCACACATACCATACCATGCCAGTGTCACTGAAGAACCACATTTGCAATGGAAAATATATCCTAAAATATCACATTTTAGCGATGTAATCACCGGTCCCGCTACCCAAATCTGAAAAATCGAGTATCTTGCGCGTGTCTGTAAGAAATATGGGTACCATAAAATGAGCTTTATTTCAAGTGTTTTTCAGATTTAGAGCCAGATTTTGTGCTAGTCGCAAGCTCAAAAGTATCTCATCGCATGTATTAAATCGATGCAGCCGCACACCGCGACACACACACGATATCTCTGTCTAATTCAGATTCCAACTTCCGATCACCGCTGTGCCTGTCTTCGGCCAGGCAAGCACCAGGGAGCTCGGGCGTGGGATACCTGCTCCGCCCGCTTGTGCTGTACATCAGCGCGGAAACGCACGGCGCGCGCGAGCGCTTCCTATTGACTTTGTACATGCGGCCGTAAACTGAAACGCTCGGCCGATAACTGGCTCCAAAACAGTGAAAATTGAAATGAATATTGTCATGGCAATTCGTGATTTTTTTCTGGGATTCTTTTTTTGTTTAAATAATAATAATATTTGCTTCATGATTTGAACAAGAAATGATAATAAATAGGAAGTAAAGAGTCCTAAAAATAGGATTTTGTCTTAAGTGGCCGAAAACGGGCTCCTTTACTCTAGAGTAAAACCGCCAAACTTCGGACGTTGCCAAACTTCGGACAAAAATTACTTCAACGGCTCGAACGCAAAATATGAGCCTAGCTCAGGCGGGTAACTTGCATGCATTTGATACTACTACTAACCTACATCGTTAGTACAGAAAGTTAGGGCAGGTTGCCGTCTGCAAAACTCACAAAAAACATCGAATTCAGAGACAGATTTCAGGTTACCTGGATTTTTACAGTTCCTTAACAGGGGAGTCAAGGTATAGAGCCTCCAATATATTGATTAAAAACAAATCCTTGGCATATTTCAGGTGGTTTCTGCCAAAATTACCAAAATTTCCAAATCTCCGATGAATGCGCACTTTAGCGCGCGCGCTATACGTGCGCTGTACGTGCGCTATGCACTATACGTTCGTTATACGTGCGCTACAAATGAACGTCCGAAGCTTAGCAAGTGCGTCCAAAGCTTGGCATGAAAAAAAGGTTCGGCGGGTAAGTAAATAATTCTAGTTTTCCATTTCCTTTACTAATTTTCTTTTAATGACATACATAAACAGTATTTGCACAATAATAGTATATTTGATCTTTCAATAATTAAAAAAAGAATTTAATGTTTTCCCTCGTTTTGTCTTAAGTGTCCGAAGTTTGGCGGTCTTACTCTACATGAGTGTGAGAGTGTCCTTTCTGGAAACCCATCTGAAGCTCATCAGGAATACCACTGGTGTTCAATTGATGAACTAACTGGGCTTCAGACATATCTCACAAAGTTTACAGAGTGTTGAAGACAAAGTAATGCCTCTGTAATTCTGCGGATCATGAACATCTTTCTCCTTCCCCTTGTGCAGCGGAATGATGAGGCCCTCTTTATACAAATTGAGGGCAGTGGGAATTTTTCAGGAAAACATTGAAGACTATAAGGAAGAGACGACGGGCAGTAACTCCAAGGTGTTGAATATACTGTGTAGAGATGTCATCTGTACCACAAGCCTTCCCTTTCTTGAGACAGTTGATGGCAGAATCAGGATCAGCAGACGTCAATGTCCAGCCAGAGTCGTAACAAACAAAGTCTGAACAGCATCCCAGTTTACAGGCATCAGTTTCGATGGCAGACAGGGTAGTAGGGAAGGTGTATCAATTCCTTTCCAAATACCCTGGTTTTCTTTTAATGTATAGTCCTGGATTGTACATCAAATTCATCTTATACGAGTACAGGCCCTGTCTGTGGTTCGACCTGGGCCACTTCTCTGATTTTAGTAAGGGCCGTTTCTGTGGTTCTGCCCAACTCACTATAGGCTGCCTGTTCTGCCTGGGTCGCTTCTCATAGTGACGGATGTGTCGGTGGTACCACCTAAGTCACTTTAGGCTGTGGTTCAACCCGAGTTACTCGTCCACGACTTTTCTTTACGATTCTTGTTCCCCAATTATTACTTTATATGGTCCTCTCTCCATTTATTCTTAACAGGAAATAATTCATGCTGGTCGTGAAGTATCGATGGACTCCAGTCATCCCAAGGCCGTCTTGGTCTTCAGTGGAAAACGCAAATCAGGGAAAGATTTTACATGTGCTCTACTGAAAGAAAGGTGAGAGAGCTTGAGAATATATTTCTTTGATACATGATCTATTTCTGTCTGATGTTTAATAAAGTACTTCTTTAATTCATTTCAATTTATGAATTGTGAAATTTTTGTCTGTGATAGAATTTTATTTTCATTTCTGTGTTTGTATTTTTATTTGAATCCCAGGCTTGGAGATGTATGTACGATCTTGACTCTCTCAGCTCCTTTGAAGTGTCAGTTCGCTGAGGTAAGTTTAGTAGTTGCCATAATCACATTATTTGCATTGAATCAAAATTATACACACTCCCAACATGAATAGTTCTGTGTGTGGTAATTGATTTTAAAAAAAGATGTGTTTCATTCAGATCTGATTGATTGAATTTTGGACCAACCATTGATGTTGCCATCTGAAAAACATAACCTCTTTCAAACCCAGGTTGGTTTTTAGGAAAACTGCAGACCTCACCACAACACCATCCTCCTCCTCTCTGTCTTGTGTAGCATAGAGGATTAAACTGTTTTAAGCAGGAATTTACAATACTAGAGCCTGATCTTGCAGATTATTTTGGGAAGAAAACTAGAGAGCTAAATTCCATTGGAAGGAAGATCAACAGAAGAAATATAGAACATCTTATGTTGATTTAAAAATTGAATAACAAATACTCAATTGCTTTCACGGTTTCCATAATACATTTTTTCTTTACGTTTTAGTTATATGCAAATAACGAAAAAATGATAGTTGCATAAGTTTATATTAACAATTTCCTCCCTAAACGTGATTTGAACTAGATTCATGGCCTAGACTATGAGCAGCTCCTCTCAGCGTCTTCCTACAAGGAGCGTTACAGACATGACATGGTGGTATGGGGTGAGAAGAAACGAAATGAAGATCCATCAATATTCTGCAGACTTGCCACTCTAGATGTTTCAACTCAACATAAGGTATGTACAGTGCATGAAGCTTTCAATGGAATGAGGTAACATAACTGGCTATACCATCTAGTCAGACCACCATGGTCAACTCCAGAGACACAATAGAAAGAAGAAAAAAATCAGTTAAATGTCCATAATTTTGTTCATTATCAGACATCTTGGAGATGGCTTGGTGTTAGTAGGGTATGGAATATCAACAATTTGATTCTATGAATGAGTGGTGTAAAGTAGTGACCATTACACATCAATACTGGCTAACCGTCTTTATAAAACTTTGGTGCTAACCACTTTCCTTCAAAGATATATCTTTATGAAAAATATCTCTTTCGTCTCCAATAATATGTTTGCAAAAGCTGCATATTTAGTCTTCTTGACTTTGTTATGATATTTTCTCTTGTTGTTTGTTTCCTTAGAAAATCAACATTGCAGATATACGTATCACTTTTTAGTTTTAGTAATAATAGTAATTTGAAATTCTTTTTCTTTTTTACAATAAGAGCTTTTGTTTGAGGCAGTAACTTACCACCAACATGGCATATTCATTTACTTTGTATGTTTATCATGTAGGTATGGCTTATCAGTGATGCAAGACGTAAGACTGATGTAGCATACTTCAAGGAGACCTACTCAGATAGAGCTAAGCTAGTCAGGGTACAAGCTGATGAATCCATAAGAGCTTCAAGGGGTTATGTCTTCAAGAAAGGTGAGTATCAGGGTATTTACATTACTGAAAGACTGAACAGAGACAGAGAGGGAAAGAACCAGAGACAGAGAGGGAAAGAACCAGAGACAGACATCCTCAGAGCAAGCCAGAGTTCAAGCTTGTGAATCCCTAAGAGCTTCAAGTGGTTATGTCAGGTAGTGTGGGGTCCTACTGAATAGGTTGTCAGAGAGAGAGAAAGTGAAAGAGAAAGAGAGATAGAACCATAGACAGTCATCCTCAGAGCTAAGCAAGGCAAGGTTTAAGCTTGTGAATCCCTAAGAGCTTCAAGGGGTTTGGGGTCGTACTGAATAGGTTGTCGGAGACAGGGAGGGATAGAGACAGACATCCTCAGAGCTAAGCAAGCCAGGGTTCAAGCTTGTGAATCCCTAAGAGCTTCAAGGGGTTTGGGGTCGTACTGAATGTTTTCAGAGAGACAGGGAGGGATAGAGACAGACATCCTCAGAGCAAACCAAGCCAGGATTCAAGCTTGTAAATCCCTAAGAGCTTCAAGGGGTTTGGGGTCGTACTGAATAGGTTGTCAGAGAGACAGGGAGGGATAGAGACAGACATCGTCAGAGCTAAGCAAGCCAGGATTCAAGCTTGTAAATCCCAAAGAGCTTCAAAGGGTTATGTCAGGTAGTGTGGGGGAGGGGAGTGGAGTTAGAGGAATTCAAAAAATATTTTTGGTATCAGCTGAGTCTTTAACTTGTTCAGTTCATAATTATAATACTTGAAATAGAATGAATTATTACTTATCTGCTATTACTAAACAATATGCATTGCATTCTTTTAGACATAAATCCTTCTGCATGGAATTCTTTATCATCAGATATTACTTCTGTTAATAGTTTGAATTTATTTAAAAGAAAGCTTAAAATGTATCTTATTTCCAATGTTCTTCCATTGTAACAACACTCGTATTACTCTACAGTGCAATTTTGTTCAGGGTTGTGCGGTCTATATACTTGTTTTTGCTTGTGTTCTACTTTGTTTTTTGTTTGTTTTGGGGTTGTTTTTGTTGTTTATTCATATACCATCTGTTCTTTTTCACCATTACAGGAGTGGATGACAGCGAGACAGAGTGTGGCCTGGATGAAGGTGTCTTGTGGGATTATGTAATAACCAACAATGGAGATGAAGATGATCTAGATAGACAACTCACACAGCTTATCAGCAGTATACAAGACGGTTTGATCAATGAAATTAAAACAGATGTATCGTGACGCTAGCTCAATTATGTAGGCTATATTTTTGGATATTTTTATCATATTCCCTCAAACATATTCTGATGCAATATTTATTGTTACAACATAATTATGCCAAATCATGAGAAAACCTAGGAATATAGGGTAGGGTAATTGAAAACTTTCAGAGTATTAAAGTGAAGTGTCACATACTTTTAACTGATGAAGAACATGCAAGTACAGATTCTCTTTTGACGCCTTAAATGAATCAAGCCTGTGCCAGCTTTATTTGTGTTCAACTACATAATTGTGTCGGTCTACAACATATGTTATGCTGACCCTTCATTCAGGGTACGTTGGATTTTATGTTTGATCTCATTTTTATTATTATATATGCATGATTTATAGGAAAAAGAACAGATTTATTTTACGTATGTTCATTATAAGTTTTGGTTGGTAATTTGTAGAAAGACAATGGTGCGCTTACAAACAACCGTATTAAGCGCACCATATCAAGCACCCTAATAAATGTTGTGTATTATTATTATTACTGGAACCCGTGGAAATCCACGGCCACCCTACTAAAAGTGCATTATGTGGAGAGTTTTGTTGCAAAATGCAATAAATCCATTTTGGTAAATTCTAGATATTTGTGTTTGAAGGTTGCTGCTGAATCATAATAGAAATAATAAGGGAAATGTTGTTTCAAACGATAACTTTCAAAATACAGCTTCAAATGTAAGAATTAAGGAACTTACATAACCATCTTTTTTTTTGTCAACAGGGGCTCCCCCCCCCCAAAAAAAAGGGCTCTTCTAGTATTGACAGGGGCTTTTTTATAATACAAATTTCCATTAATTGGTACCCATGATACTGCTAAATTCTTTGCTATTTCATCATTTATTTAAGTCGGCCTTTTCCCTCTTACAACTTTACAAGTTAAATCAAATGCAGCTAATGGTCAGATCTCCTCCCTCTGTATGAGATGTCCAATCAAGACTCCAAGCCCGTACAGTCGCTTCCTTGCCAACAGGTTTCCTACTAATTTTAGCTTTAGGTTGATTTAATGGTCGAGAATCATATGTGCTGGTCTGTATGTATTTAAATGAACTAAAAGTGCATTCACTGATGCTGTTACTCTTAACATACTTCCTCCGAGTCTTGTACATCTCTAAGTGCTCTACATTTTGTACCACAGAGTTGAGTTCATGGATGGAAGTGGTTATTGTTTCAGATCCTGGCGCTTCCTCTATTTTCCTGTGCACTCGGGCGAGACGGAGTAATCTATACCCATATCGCCGTCACACTGTTGCTACACACCAGGCTTGCCACCTGGTCCACCTCACGCTCCCCCTCTCTCCACGCCTGCTTCGGGTGGATACCCTCAGCTACGTGAAAATGGGGGCTGGCAGGATACGTGATTCCTCAACCCCCAGGAATGCGGGGAACCCTGCCTGGGGTGGCAATTATGCACGCTAGCCCGTTGTCTCCTCAGGCTCTCCTCCAGCCGATCCAAATGGAAATGGCTGTCAAAGAAGATTCTTTGTTAGAGTTCAGTTACCTTTTTGCAACTTTGGCTCGTGATAATGTTGGTAAAGATGTGTCCGGAGTTTAAGTCATATTTTGTTTTGGTCTGAAATTGGCATGTACATTTTGGTGCGATCTTTCTGCTGTGTGTGTGTAACTGTTGGGTTTTTGTCTCACCATGTGAAGTATCCAACCCTGCAACAGGTCCATATCATAACAGTTCCAACCATTAGCAGATACTGTTAAGTTCCTTTGTATGCGCGGTAAAAGAACATAATGTAAGGCATACATGACTTCATTTGATACATCAAGTATGCTTAGCCATACTATCATAACGATGATAACACAGATGCAGACGACAAAAATGACAGACTCATAATCTTTCTTTTCGCTGGTTGGTTACAGATGAACCAGTTATAATATATCCTCTCCTCTCAGCCCTCTCGACACAAGCATGTATCTTCACCTTCCCTTCGTCGCTATATATGCTCTCCACTCATTGTCTTGAAACCACCTGATGTCGATTCAGTTTCCATATTTGTGATCTTTAATAATGACAGAAACAGAAAAGAAGGATAGATGAAAACAAAAGGAAAGCGTTAGAAAAACTAGGATCGTCTTTCTCACCAACACCATAGTAAGTGTATGACGGTAACAATGGCTTCTCTAAACAGAAAAGCTGGGTTGCTATTAGTGATGGGTTTGTGTATGCTATGCGTCTTAATGCTCAAGGCCAAGAATATACATAGAAGTAGAACAATGATGGATTCTTGTGATGACGTAGTTTTATGGCGATTTTGGTAATGGCGACTATGATGACTGGATATGTAGATGTCTGTAGATGGCGAAGATGTCTGTAGATTAACTTGTTGTGGAGAAGAAGAAGACTGTAGATGACGATAGGAAAAACTGTAGAATGAAGCTAACGGATCAGCCGTTAAAACCGGTTCATACTATGGGACCGTTCTGTATCCAATAATGTTGCAGGCATAAGTAGATGGCGACGTTCAATCGTTTCTCATCTCTCTTACACTGCCTGCCTTTCGCCGGTTCATACTATGGGACCGTTCTGTATCAGATAATGTTGCAGGCATAAGTGGATGGCGACGTTCAGTCGTTTGGCGTCCCGCTTTCACTGCCTGCCTTTTGTTGTGAGGGCCATACATCTACACGTCGAAGTTTAAAAAGTGCTTTGATGGCATCATCAGGAAGGTTCCGTCTATGGTGTGTACAAACAGGAGTAGGGTGAGTTGTCTTGCGTTTGTGACGCTTGCCTTTTAAGGTGTTGCATCTACAGCGCATGCCTGGTTCACGAGCTAGACGAGGCATAATATCGTCCGTTCGTTCGTTTATTCATTTCATTTTCATAAAAAACAATGCAAATGCAAAAAAACATACAAGGATATATATACAAAGAATGTTCAGTTTAAACAATAACTTCAATGGAAAAGCCCATGGTGGCCTTGTTTAGAAAAGTTCCCCCGAATATTAAAATTTATGTTACTGAGTATATATATTAGTTAAAGATTTTAAAAAATACAGCGATAAACACAATAGAAAGACGAAACTACAAAAACATGTATGAAATAATTTAGACTTGGAGGGGCCAAAAAGGTTTGGAAGGTAAAATCAATGGTACTCGGAATACAAGGTCACTTTCAGTTGTTTTTTAAACATTGAACGGTTTTTATATAACCGTATGACTTGAGGTACCAATTTGTAAGGAAAACTCGGGAATCAAACTCAATACAATTCGCAAAAAGGGATTGTTTATAGTAAGTGAAAAATTAAGCCTGAGTCATTACGGTTTTTGTGCTAAACGGTTAACCGTTAAAAGTATACGGGCGGTTTCGTTTAACCGTTTAATAATAATCTGAAAAAGTGAAAATACAGTATTTGTAATAGTGCTGTAGCTCGGAACCCTGCTGGTCTTCAGACTGTCGGGCTGAGCATTCCCAGCCCCGGACTATGGCACAAATTGGGTCATCCTGATAAACAGAGACCAGTAATAAACAACATAAAACATGTCTTATTATTCCTCATCTGAATTTGATATCATGATTAACCTTGCAAAGTTACTCTGTGAAGATAGCTGATCTGTGACGTGTTTATATATGCCTTTGCAATGCAATGTTTGCACATGTCAGGGAGAGAGCTCCCTGCATGTATCATTGCCATATGAAATTATGTGGAAGTGTGTATCACACACACCCAAGACACACCCTGCAATGAGCTGATCCAAGTTAGTGACCAATCAGGAAGGTTCTCTAGCTATGTGGGTGGAGTTTGATACCAGCATAAATTACAGGTTGGTGACCGCGCAGTTCAGTGGGAGGTCAAGAAGCCACGCCCACATGTGTGCATGTGACAAGCATGAGCTCTCCATCTGTGTGTATGTACAGTGTATTTGGGCGCCGGAGGTTTGTGTGTACATGTGTGTGTGACTGAGAGAGCATGCATGGGCTAGCATGTCCATGCATGTCCCTGCATGGACGAGGCAGGGACACGAGAGAGTAAAGAAGTAAAACAAGTGAGACTAGATAGAAAGGGTGGCTGTGTTAATCGGCTGAATTGAAGAATGATCACAAACTTAAATTACTCACAATATCCAAGACTTTGTTTATTGATATTTCAAAAACTTCAATTATATTGTTATCAATATTTTTGTATTTTATTTATATATGAACATTATTTTAGGGGGCGAGTCGGCAAGGGATGGATATTAATATTGAGAGAGAGAGAGAGAGAGAGAGACTCGGGGGAGAAATAGGGATGTGAGAGGAACTGACCATCGAATGTGTAAACATTTAGAAAGTTGTGAGCTGAGAGTGCAGTAATAAGAAAAGGTACATGAGCGATGAACACATTGCAGAGAGAAGGGAATAAAGAGGGTGAGAAAAGAGAGAAGGGGGCTGGTTGTTTTATTGTTTACAAATTCATTCATGGGGATTACTGCTGCCAGAAAGCTGGCGCGCAGCGGCCAGGGTGTAACATTACACTGCGGTTTCTTTGATTATCTTTATCATCGGCTATTAGCACATTCCAATATGTATGCAAATAACGGTTAACCGGAGCGAGAAATGCTAAACGGTTTTGATGAATGCGGTCGGATAACCGTCGGTTAAACGGTTTGACTCAGGCCTATGAAAAATGTATCTAAAAAATAACCTGGCTTCATTGAAGTGCTGCAGCTGCATCTTCTAATTATGTGAACTTACTTCTAGCATGCGATCCCTATATGCAGAAATTGGTATATTGGTGGTTCTTAAAAGAACCTTTGGGGTGCATCTTAAGATTAATCTCAGAGGCTATGGGCTTCATTGGAAGTAGAAGCTTGTTGTAGTTGGCTCGTTGGTTCGTCATTATCATCAGTGATGGTTGTGGAAGTTACTTCTTGATCTTGAAGAACATCTTCTTCTCTGGACATGTCGTGGGGTCCGCATAGGTAACATCTACACCCAACCGTTGTTGAGCACATCATGACGTCGTAGATGTGTCTGTCGCATTCTGCCTTCTGCCACCTATACTCCATCACCATTTCTCTTGTAATTGGAACTTCTCTTCAAATACGATGCTCTGCTTTGAATTCACTCATGAGGTAGTCAGCCATGATCTCTTTAATAGAATCTCAACAACTAATAGCCATAACATTTTGTCAGCACAGATTTATACTGGAATTTCAGTGACTACCGAGGATTCATTCATTTGATTAACAAAGAGTTATTTGTATGTCCTGATTGGTCTGATTACGAAGAAAGCATGAACTAATCGAGGACAAATCTGCTCGAATTTTGTGCATTAATCCTTTGCATTAATCCATTGGAATTTATTTCAACCGATATTTGGTGAAATGAATGTAGATGGTAAAAAATACTACTGTAACAATTGAGTTAAAGTTCATTTATTTACACTCATCATCAAAAATACAGAATATATACATCAGTCACATTTACAAATACAGAATAAACATATGTAAATATTGTACATCCAAACAAAAAACATTACTTAATGAGAGTGAACGGGTGCGCTAAAAAGGAGAATAGTCTTTACGCTAGAGTCCATCCCTCATATATGATATTAATAATATGCAAATTAAATGTTGTACTATTGAAAGCATGAAAATAGAAACAAGGGGAGGAGGGGAAGCTCTCTAGGTTATGGGGCCAGCTGTAGGGGCTTTAGTGGC